CGCGTCCCGACCGCCACAATTCGCATCGCTTGCACTGTTATTTGTCGAGGACTCAAATAACCTTTTGAGACGATCGATCGCGGGTCGAAATTATGTGAAATTTGAATTTCGACGCGTTTTTGACCCGATTGTCGACGACGTCGTCCGAGCGACCCCGGATGGCAAAACGAACTGCCCCAGCGCGTCCAGAACGTCAATTTTGCCTAGGGAGGACACCCATTTTGTTACGTCGCCGCGCGAATAAATCGGATATAATTTAATGTATATATATATATATATATATTTTTATATTAAAACTATTTTTACACCTTTCCTCTTTAGCCCTAACTCCCCATTCTCCGCGTCCGAGCTCTGCCTCCCTTCCTTCTCCCGTTCGCGTTCGCGTGCCTAGCCCTTTCCCTTTCTCGTTCTCGAGCCGAGCGAGCTCTTACTCCTCCACGCGAGAGAAAGTTAACCTCGTCCGTCCTTGCCTGACATGCTACTGCTCGCGGCCCTCCTTCCCCACGCCGTGCCGTGGTTTTTCCTTTTCTTGGTAGCTTGACTCTGGGAAGCTTGTTCCCTGGTACACTTGAACGGCAATATCTTCTCTTCTTCTCGATGATTCTCTCGCTGCCATTAGTCTCGCCGCTTGGTCCGAGAAACTTTGGTGGCTTCGCCTTCTGTGAGCAGGGTGCGGGTCCTTTTCTTCTTTGGCCTGATTCGAGTGTTGTGGACTGTTGGGGGTGGTCTTCTTTCTCTTCTCTCTATTCTCTGCCTATATACACAGTTCCTTTTGAAATTTTTGAGGTTGTTGGAAAAATTTTCAGAGAGGAGAGTAGAAATTTTGGTTGTGAGGAGTTTGGGAAGAGAATTTCGGTGAGAGCGTTTCTTTGAGGCGAACTCTTGTGTTGCAGGGCTTTACTTTGGCATTCTTGAGGTATCATTCTTCCCCCCTCTTCTTCGGTGCTCTGTTTCTTTTCGGTTTTCCTCTCTACCGAGTCTTTGAACTTGGCTCTGTTGGAGAATACAGCATGCTAGCTCATTTTATTTGGATATATTTTCTTGAGATATTCACTTCAAGTGCATTTGGAAATGAAAATGTGAGCATGTGTTAAAACTAGACTTCGTTACTTGCTTAAACTAGGGAGACTATGGCATCCTTACGATTATTGTGGCATGTTTATGTTGGAAACATTTAGGGAGTTAAGGCATGACTTTGAAATGATTTTTGCTCCTCTTTCATGCATGTTGGGGTTTCGGCTTTAGCATCTTATTACTGGTTCTTGCTTAAGATAAATACTTGGGAGTGCATTTTACTGTTTTATGCATGTTTGGGGGCTCGGTTTTGGTTTCCTGTGGCTTTCCCTGGCTTGAATATATGCTATGAGAAAACTTATTTAATTTGAAAAGTGTTACAACTTGTTCTGAAGGCTGGGTTTAGCTCCTTGTGAAGTGCCTCCTCTGTTCATATATTTGTTGAATAATTTCATGCTTAGAATGTTTAGACATGCAGGTTGTTCCTCGGGCTTAAAATGGCTAGATCTTTAATGTGGAATGGCTCGGTTTTAGCCCCTGTTGGGCTCGATTTTGTTTGTTTTTTTGGCTTGATTGGAGTCACGGTTTTGGGCATTGAATGGCTGGGTTTTGAGCTCAGTTTGGCTCTAGTTGGGGGCTGGCTTTGGCTCTGTCTCTGGTTGCTGGCTCTGGTTTTGGTTTTGTTTCT